ATCAATCAATCTTTTCATTTATGTGATAGGCCTGCATTTAAAATAAATATTTACCACAAATTAAAGGTATCTTATATTATTAGATATATTATTATAAAACATGCTTTAGTTAAAGAGTTATTGATACTTCAAATGCAAAATGATGATATAAAACCTTGATAAAAATACACTTTTAAGTACTAATCAATAAGGCTATTAGCATAGTCTTTTTGACAAATCTAAGTTCATCCTAAGTTTAATAATTTAATGCTTTATGACTCAAACACCTAATCTTTACTAGTATTATTGTCTTTATGTCATAAGTGAAGAGAAGTAGGGTTTCCTTCGTTAACGACTTTCTAGGTTTATGTTAACCTAAAGGACTTTATTAAGGAGATCCACCAATTCCTCTTTAGCTTAAATTATCACTAATGATGGTAAAAAAGGACCTTAAGAAGTTGTATTATATGTGTTTTTTTTTTATGAAAGACAGTAAAATATTTTCTTATGAAGTAGAAAATTACTTCACCTAGGGATCAAGTTTTTTTTTTTTTTATAGAGTCTTAAACTGATATAGGTATGTCCATACAAGGGTAAGATGGTTGATATGCTAACAACCTACACTTTTACATTACTAGAGGATAAAGGTCTAGATTGACAACTAACCACTAAAAAGTAGTCATCATTATAGTTTTTATAGACTATGTATTGCTGATAATGATGATAATAAGATCAATATTTAAGAGAACACATAACTAAAAGATGCGTCATCATTTAATAAATATATGTTATGAGTATGTGGTTGGTGACGAGTAAACTAGATTCATTTAATAAATATATGTTATGTCTTTGTGGTTGGTGATAAGTAAATTAGGTTTGACCAAAAGGTATTACATTCAAGTGCAACAATCCTATTATTGTTTAACAATTCTATGTAGAGTTTAATGTGCATTGGTATTTGGGAGACTATTATCTTAGGGTGTCATCTTGTTAATCCCTTTGGATACATCGATTTCAATTTGATAATATGTGCTTTGGATATGTTGGGCATCAAGATTTGTAAGGGTACAAAATCAATGACCCAATTCAGGAAAAGTATTAGGCCATGATATTTGCTTGGATCCAAATAAGTGTAAGCTTCCAAATAAGTGTAAGCTCTGTTTAGGCCTTGGATGCCCGAGGAAGTTTCATAATTAATCATGCCTTTAGAGTTGTATCTCTTTAAAATCAAGTTTTGAGTACTAGGACATGAACTATATGATTATGATAGAGACCCCGAGCTAATAAAATACAATTTAATCTTATGAGTTTAAACTAATTTAGTTTTAGGTGTATGGAAATGTTTTTTTCTTTTTAAATTGTCAATTATCATGAATTACTACAAACCAATGATTTTGAGTTCTGACCAGAACATATTTATAAAAAATATTAGAAAAATAAGATAATTTTAATATATGTTAGTGTAAATAGTATTAGTTCACTACAACTTACCTAGTTAAATGGTGTTTAGAGAATTTTTTATTTGAATCAAATTGAACAACATAACTCATAACTAAGAAATCAAATTAGAGAAAATTATGTAATTGAAATGGCTCAACATTTTCTTTTTTTCTTTGTTTTTTTTTATGGTGAACTTCTTTTTTTTTAAACATTTTCTTTTTTTCTTTGTTTTTTTTATGGTGAACTTCCTTTTAAAAAAAAAAACATAAATATTTTGATAAACATAAACAATCTGCTATTTTTTTTCAAGTTTCCTCCATTAAAAAAATGTGTGATAGTCAAAATTATGATGGTTAGGTAAGTTTTGGGTTTGAGCTTGCTTCATCATTGACGACTTATTCTCCATCTAAGATTAAAAGTTAGATAACTAAAAAAAATATTTTAACATTTAGAAAATATAATAAAAAATAAAAATATATATGTGAACTATAAATCCATTAAACTATCTCAAAACAATAATTGTTAGATATCTTTAACATAAACTAATTAAGAAGAAGGAATCACTATTTATGTCCTTATAAAGTATTGTTCATGGAAACAATACTTTTTTTTGTGTTTACTTTTAATTTTAAATTATTTTTTACTTTAATTCTCCAACATTATATTTATTAGAAATTGAGTTTATAATTTATTTTAGTATGTTTTCTAAGGGGTTATCTCAATTTAATGATTTAGGACACAACTTTTATGGGTTAACCAGTTAGTTTGATTTGTTTTTTCTATTTTTGTAATTAGATATATATATTTTTTTAGTTTTAACATTTAATATTGAGTTGCTTATAAATTAATCTTCATAGTATTTTTTTTATTAATTTTTTATAAGGTTATCTCAGATTCATAGCTTGAGTTATATATAGATATGATAGATTGACTCAAGTTTTTTTTATCTCATTTTTTTATTGATTTTTGTTTTTAATTTCATCTTTTAAAATTGGATTGATTAGGAATTGTGCTTCATAATTTTGTTTTATATTGTCCTAGTCTCATAACCTAAATTTAACAAGTTAATCAATGTTGACTTAAGTTATTTTTTTTGTACTTTTTTAATTAATTTTTTTTCAGTTTCATCTTTTAACATTTAATTGTTTGAGAATTAAGTTTCAAAATATTTTTTGATTTATTTTTTATAAGGTTATCATAATGTTATTACCTTGACTGTGGATTTTACATATTAATTCAGGTTCACTCGAGTCAATTTAATATGTTATCTTCTCAATATTTTTAAAAGATATTGTCTTAAAATTTTCATAGTCAAACTATGGTTTTTGTTTTTTACTGTTTAGGTAATTTTTGGACTTGATAAGTTGATTTTGTCACATTAGTCATTATGTACATAGTTTAATTAAAAAAAATCATATTAGTAATGCCTAATTTTTTTTTAATATTTTTTAAAAATTGATCTAACTCACAACACAATATGAGTAAATAATCTATTTTTAAAACTAAACATCTTTTAAATTCTGAACTATTGATTAATATAATAAACTTAACATATACAAATTATTTTTGTAATATTGTATGGGTTGGTGAAAATTTGTCAAGGATTTGATATAATTATTAATATTTCTTCATCAAATCTTAGTAGCAGACATGAAAGTAATCACAATAATAATATTAATAAAATATTAATGATGGATAATAACAATGAATATCAACTTGACTTGAAAGGTTGTGTAATTTTTGGATTATTACTTTACTAATAGATAATAAATAAAGTATGGATATTGTTATATTTATCTAAAACTCACCTGAACATAATTCGAAATATGTATTTATATTATATAAATATATTTATAGAATATTTATATTTATTTTAATTTAATATGAAATATAAATATCATAATAGTGACCCAAAACACACACATACAAATATATATCATTTTACTATTTAATATATATATATATATTAACTATTTTATTATTTATTGAATAATAAATAATCATAGATAATATTTACCTTTAAGTATTCTGAAAATTTAATTAATAATTTAAAACTATCTAAATTTTATTTAAATAAGATATAAATATTACGAAGTTAAATCACAAAGCTAATAAAAATTAGGTACAAAGCTCATTTACAATAATTAAGCGAATAAACAGGGCAAAATATTTATGATAATTTGTTAAAACACATCATCCAGGCCCTCACTTGCTGCTAAAATTTTCAAGGAATTAGGATGATGATTATCTTTAAGTCTTGTTTGTTTTTGTTTATAAAAAGTATTTTTAAAAAAAATTAATTTTTTTTTATTTTAAATTTAAATTTTTTAGTATTTTCATATCATTTTAATATAATAATATAAAAATAATTTTAAAAAATAAAAATATATTATTTTAATATATTTTTAAATTAAAAATATTTAAAAAAATAATCATGAACATATTCTAAACAGGGAAAAATATCAGGGGTGTGTGTAAATATATATATATATATATATATATATATATAAAAGATGAAAATAAATCTAGGTTTCTGGAAAAACAGAATTAACAATATTAATAATTAGTGCAGGGGGGGTAATAAAATAAGACGGTGCTGCGTGGAGGGTACTGACACATACTCGCTGGCTACGAAACAAGAGAGAGTGCGAGATTCCAGTTGAGATCAAACTCCGACCTGGGAACACACACAAAGGAAGACAGTATGGCGCATCTCTAGAAATTTGATTCTTTCGCGCACTCTCTTTCTTCTAAAAAAACCCTATTTAAATGAAAGCTTAGCCCACTGCTTTCTCCCATGCATTCACATTTGTTTTCTCCACTAGCTCCAACACCACTGCTTGTGATCTTGTGCTCCCTTTCTTAATTTCTCTTCCCACTTCACTTTTTTCCATAACCTCTTCACTCTTTCTCATGAGTATTTTCCTTCGGTCTAACTTGCACACTCGCCTGTAACTTTCTTTCTTCGTAACTATACTTCTCACTCGCCTGATTCTATATATATATATAGAATATATTTCCTCTATAATCATCCCTTGTTTCTTTATTTGAGCTGCTACTGCTTGTTTCCATAATTAAGTGAAAATCAATTTCAAGAACATGTCTAGCCGAAGGTCACGATCGAGGCAATCAAGTAGTTCAAGAATCAGTGATGATCAGATCCTTGATCTTGTTACAAAGTTGCAACAGCTTCTTCCTGAGATTCGTAACAGGCGTTCTGACAAGGTACTATAGTAGTAGTTAAAAAACAGAACTTATCACTAGCAAGTCTATTTAATTTATAACTAGTTTTATAACCTCCCCAGCTATATAATATATTCACCGGTAAACTGTTTTCAAATTGTAGGAGCTGTAGCTAAGATGATATTTTTATCTCTATTAACTAGACTGGTCTCAAACACAAACTAATCCAAGAAAAAAGAAAGGATCGCTTCTCATGGCTTAGGAGCTAAAACCTACTAGCTAGTACTGTAACAATTATAGTAGCATATATACACAGCAGTCATCAGTTTCCTTTAAGAAATGTAAAGCAAAGTGGATTTTTTATTGTCGAGATCTTCCTTACGGACGTAGTTCCTTTGACTTCTTCCTAATTAATATACTGAACGAATAACTTTCTCTACTGATCCATGAAAGACTCACAAAGTTTATTCAAGTGGACAGCTTCTGTTATCTTAAGTACTGCAATCTCTTGGACTACCAGACTATTTACAGATCCATATTTTTTTCTGGGTGGTGTTGGTACGTAGATATAATAATTACAAACGTTTGATGTGGTAGGTTTTGCTTTTGTGCGACTTGCATCTAATTATAGGCATTTTCAACTTTACATATGTTGAGATGTTTACTTCTTTTTTCGTTCTGAGACCTTCGGTATATGTTTGTGTTTTGCTAGCTTTTAACTTCAGTTGGATTTTTTATTTTATTTTATTTTTATTCTTCGAAGGTTTCGGCTGCCAAGATCTTGCAGGAGACATGCAACTATATTAAAAGCTTGCATAGAGAGGTTGATGATCTTAGCGAGCGGCTGTCTGAGCTATTGGAAACAACTGACACAGCCCAAGCTGCAATAATCAGGAACTTACTTATGCAATAGAGCTGATTAAGGATTAATACTACTTGCTTGGCTTATGCAGTAGGATCATGTTTCCTCTCTCTTCCTTTGTTCTTCTCTCTATCTTAGATTTTAATTTCTAGATTTTAGCACCAGAGTTAATCCGTAGTAGTGCTGTTTTAGAGATTAGAAAAACCTTCTGCAAGGCTATGTCAAGGAATATAATAAAGTTAATAATAATAAAAAAAAACTCCTATCGTTTATATTTGATGGAAAATGAACTTGTCAATTTCCCCACAGCATGCGTGACAGTATTGCTTAGAACAAGTCAATGCCATAGTTTTATCAAAACAAAGTATATTGCACGTTCGTAACTTGAGTATTGGATCTAATGCATACACGTTGATGACCACGGATACATGGACTTAAATAATCCCTTCTTTAAAAAAAAAATTATATAAATAAATAGAGAGGGAGGGTGCGGTTCTCGGAACCCTTACATATTTTAACTTAACTGTTAATGAACTAAGGTTAGATCTAGAGTGGGTGACTATTGCCAGCACCGATCGAGTACTGGCATCGAGTGCAGTATACACTGCACTGATATCGGTTCATCACACACACACACACTTAATTACCATAATTGTGATAGATATTTTGGCTCATTTTTCGTCATACATAGTGCTCTAGAGAACCAAGCAGAGGTGCATCGCCTTGCTTGTCATTGCTTCCCACTGAAGTATATAATATACACAAGGAAAAGAGAGGAAGTAGTCTCTCTATATTCTGTTGCTGGGAGTGTGGGCATAGGCGCATAGCTAGCTTCTATACGTCTTTTCCTTTTCTATTGTGTTGGGAAAGGGAATGGGTAGTTCTGGCTTAGTATGCACGCAAAAACAAGCAGAAGAGTTGCACGTAGATAGGCAACAATATAATTTGACTTCGTTCTCTGTCTCTAAGTTTTATAATGCAAGACGACGACGGTGATGAGCCAAAAATATATAAACAACTCATCTGCGAAAAGTATATTGTTACATTAATGCATAGGGTGTTTACATGATTTGGGATCGAAGGACGTAGAGTGGTGTGGCGTATTGTTGACTGGGACATTGGCTTTTGAAAGGGCAGACGCCTACAAGTGTTTATATAAAAAAATAATAATTTATCCATTTGATTGATAAAGAAAAATAATAGTTATTCTCGAGCGAACTAGTTAAAATGGTCGAAATCAACTATCGACCAACCAAAGCACTTGAAATCGATCACCTACTGGAAGAGAGGATTCACACTGACGATTAATGATCGAGTTTCATGCGGATAGTGGGTGGATGTTGTCTTATGACAAGAACACATGCAATTATCAGCATATAAAGAATATAAATTATATGTATAGAATAGAATTTGATGGTTATATAAAATTCTATTTTTATAACGAAATAAATAACCATTCAACATTGAAAACAATAATCACTTCTGTATAAACAATTTATTCATATGCTTTCTTTTATCACTTTATTGGTATATTTTATATAAAATCACATATGAAAATGCTTCGTCAATAAATCTATCATTGATAATTTTTTATTCATCAATAAGTTTGCTGGTAGTAAAAAAAATTATTACTAATGAATTTATTAAAAATAAAATAAGCAAAAAAACTACCAACTTCATTCTATTGGTATTTTTCTTAGCAAAATACTATGTGTAATTCTGTTGGTAATTATTTAAAAATATTCAAAAAAATATTAAAAAACTATAAAATAATTAAATTAATATAATTCAACACTTTATAACACTCTATAATACTCAATATTTCCCTCAAAAAATAAATTCAACTAAAAAAATTCCTATGAAAAAAATTAAAAATCCGATAAATAAATCAACCAAAAATTGATTTCATATAAAAAAAATCCTACAACAACATTCATATAATTATTAAGAACAAAAACAATTAAAAATGAAATAAAAAACAAATATAGTGAAAAAAACATGAAAAAAAAATCTTTCATTCATGTAGTTGCAAGTGAAACTAAGAAGAAAAAAAAAAGAAAGCAAAAAAACTACCAACTTCATTCTATTGGTATTTTTCTTAGCAAAATACTATGTGTAATTCTGTTGGTAATTATTTAAAAATATTCAAAAAAATATTAAAAAACTATAAAATAATTAAATTAATATAATTCAACACTTTATAACACTCTATAATACTCAATATTTCCCTCAAAAAATAAATTCAACTAAAAAAATTCCTATGAAAAAAATTAAAAATCCGATAAATAAATCAACCAAAAATTGATTTCATATAAAAAAAATCCTACAACAACATTCATATAATTATTAAGAACAAAAACAATTAAAAATGAAATAAAAAACAAATATAGTGAAAAAAACATGAAAAAAAAAATCTTTCATTCATGTAATTGCAAGTGAAACTAAGAAGAAAAAAAAAGATTCATAAAGTATACTAATTAAAAAAAAAAACTAACAAGAAAGGAGAAAAAGACATACCTGAACATGGAGGAGAAGAGAAGGAGTTGAGGAGATAAGAAAAGAAAAAAAATAGATATTGATATTTTTTACATATGAGTAAAAGGAAGAAAAAGAAGAAGAAGAAGATAAAGAAAGAGACGGGTATGTTGTGAAATTAAGGATTCTAGACTCTTTATTGGGGTATTTTACCAATAGATAATTAAATATTAATATGTTTTAATTATTTCATCGGTGATTCCATTTGTAATATTTAATTTAAATTTTTTATTTAATAAATTTTTTTCAGAAATCGCAAAATATCACTGATGACTTTTCAATTCGTCAGTGATTTCGTTTGTAATATTCAATTTAAATTTTTTAAAAAACTATGTAATATTCAATTTAAATTTTTAATTTAAATTAAATTTTTTAAAAAACTGTTCCATTTGTAATATTTAATTTAAATTTTTTTTAGAAATTGCAAAATATCACTAATGACTTTTCAATTCGTCAGTGATTTCGTTTGTAATATTCAATTTAAATTTTTTAAAAAACTATCAAATAACACCAACGACTTTTCAATTTATCGGTGATTTTGTCTATAAAGAATAGTAATTAATAGTACAGTTGGGAAGTAAACAATTTTAGTGCTTTTTAGAAAATACTGATAGAATTTTCCATTGATGATTCCCTTTGTAATTGATATAATGAACAATGTTCACAGTTTACCAACGATTTTGCCAATAAATTTACCAACAGAATAAATTTTGTCAGTAATAGCATTGGTAAAATCATCATGTTATCGTTTCTTTTGCTTTGTTTTAATTATGTTATTTTCTACTGTAATTCTCTCAGTATATACCGAGAAAATATTACTATCGGTAAAAGTCATCGATAAACTTCCTATAAAAATATTCCCTTAGTATTTTCATTTATATTTATCAATCTTTTAATAGTGATATTCATTACTTCTTCTTTATTGTTTTCCTAGTTTGTAGTTTTAACATTACTCTTCTTTTCTCTTAACCTCTGCAAGCTAAGTTAAGAGCTTAACACTTTTTTTTTTTTATTTGTTAGGCTATTTCCGCTGGGAATTAAGATTTTAATTCTAATTTTTTCTTGTTGGAAGAAAAAACAAAAAAAATAGTAGTATATTTATCAATGAATCAAAAATCAATCAAAAAATTAGTTATCTAAGAGATTGACAATATGTTAATGATATTTCATTAAATACATTTATTTTTTTAAAATGATTTCATTTTTTTATTCAATATTATTAGAGTTTTCTAGTCTTTTCAATATAAAGAGTTGTAATAGTATTTTGATAAGTAAATTTATAAGTATAAAAATTAAATATTTTTGACATCTTTATAATTGCAGTGTTACTGGTGTTTGAGTTTTTTAATTTATAAAAAGTTTCCGGTGTCCTATCCTAGTTAAGCTCTTTGATTTGATTGCCATGGCTGGAGACCGTTTCTAGCTGAGCATGTTCTGCCTTACTTCATTAATCGTGTTTGTAACATTTCAGTGTGATCTTATCACTGTTCATTCAAATGTTCAAGCTGTTGTAGTTGGGCGTACATTTGTTATAATCCTGCTCCTATTCAAATATGGTTTTTGAAAATCAACTGGATGTACGCTCTCTCATAATTCTCTAATCATATATGTGCAGGCTCACATATATTTTGCGGCCAAAAAATATCTTGTTTGTTAAAAATTAAAATAAAATAAAATATCTTATCAGAACCCTAATACCTAAAAATTAATGTAAATAAAAAAACCAAAATTTTTCACTCACTAGTATTCTCTAATATACTTTAATTATAATACTGAGATTTATATAATTGTTAACTTCATAACTCGTGGGATTAGTTGAAGTATGCGTAAAATCAAAACATCCATGTTAATAAATAAATAAAAGATAAAAATACCTTAACTCCATCTATCATTTATAAACCTAAACATGCCACAACTTTGAAACTATCCCTCCTAGATGTTTCTAACACCATTCCACGTAAGTCGATCAAACTTTCATAGACTCTTCTCGTAATGTGAGTGGGATCAACTTATTTTAGCTCATTTTCATTTCACTTAATTAATTATTTGGCCTATTAATTCTTTGGATTTTCAAATTAAGGTATATAGATTTTAATTTTCTATTCTAAAAATAGATGAGAATGATCATCGACCAACGCAACGAGAATTTAAATTATTGATTAATAATCTAAATTTTATTCATATAAAAGTAAAAGCTTTTAATAGTAAAGTTAGAGAATGTTATGATATAATTAGAGTTCTAACATATACAACTTTCAGATGGAGATGCATGAATAGAAAGTATGAAATGTAATAGAATATAAGTTCTAAAATCCATATTTGTTATAAATAATTTGTATTGGAATAAGATTTATAGCTCATATGAAACTTTATCTTCATAACATTATAAATAGGTTATCTAGCAACTGAAAATAATGCTTACCCCTATTATGCAATGTATTGTTTTTTATATTTGCCATAATATACAATATTTTTTATTGCTTTACTTTATTGCTTTACATTTTTAACTTAATTTATATTTTTCTTGGAATTTCACTCATTTACATCTTAACCTGATGAACCAAGTTAAAAATTATATGCTTTGTTTAATTTGCAAGATTGTTACATGCCTCCACTTTAAGATTGTAAATGTAGTTTTTTTCTTGATTGAATGAATAAATGAATTATTGTTCTATGATTAAAGTAATAATAACACCTAAGGATGGTTGTATTAGATGTCTTACGACTAATATTAATTATTGCAA